AAAGGTGTTCGTTAGAGGAAGGCAGAAATATCAGTGTCTGATGATCTTTCCCAGTTTCTCTTTCTCTTTTCTGATTTGTTACCTCCCAAATCTAACACATTTGTATCAATTTTATTTAACTTCATGACCTTTCTTTTTCTTTTTTTTTTGCTATGAAAACTTTTGACACATCAAAATTGTATTTATTTGTGAGGTTGTCTCACATTTATTCAACTCCCTAATATCACCATGTACCATTTAATCTCTAAAGACCTTGAAAGTACACTAAAACTTTCATTGCTCTAAATTGCCTTCCCAAATATTTTCTCCTTGGTTAAGTCAGATCATTGTTAATTTTTAAAAAGGGTGTATCCTATCAACTAAGAAACACATTGTGTGACATTACTTGAAACTTATTTTCAAAAGAGAGAATAGCTTTTATTCTTTGAAGAGTAAGGTATTCTTGTGAAAGGATCTGTATCCACACAGCTAAGAATATTCACAATTTTTATTTTCTACTCCCAAATTGCAGATTATTCCTCACCTCTTCTGCAATTAATGATTGCATCTTCTGAAGCTAACATAGGAGAAAGAGACTGAAAAATCTGAGTGCTAAAATTGTTTTTGGAGACTTAATAAAAAAAAACTTTGATGACACAAAACAAGATCAAAGAATGAAAATTTCCTTTGTATTTCTCTATTTTTCCTTACCTTAAAGGTAAATGTGACTTTTTAGAAAAACGCTTTCTTTATTTTTTCCCTAATAACAGAATCATTTCACGCATTTTTTTTTGACAGAGGGAGTATATCTACAAATACAAGTCACTTTAGTAAGGCTTCTGTGTTTTTAATAAAGTCCAAAATTAGTGACAGTTTTATTAATATTTCACAATTTTTAGTCAAGCAGTGATTTCGATTTGCGTTTTTAACTTTACTGGTCATATCCTTTTCTCCCTCAGACCATGGCTGACATGGAGTAAATTCTCCTCTTTTAGTTTTGAAACATTTTTCAATTTGAGTTCAGTCGAAGGTCACTGCTCCCAGTGAGCCTCTCATTTCCTTTCATGTTGTGCGGTAGTCTGTCTTTTCTTAATGGTTTTGATGTGGTTCATCTTTGAGAGCCACAGGAATTCCTCCCAGAGTACGTTTATCTACTAGGAAATAAAGAGCCTGCTGTTGCTCATTTGCCTTGTTTTGTATGGATTATAAAAGAAGGAAACCTTTAATGAGCTAAATCACAGGCGTGTGGCTCTATGTGTGTTAAAGTCACATGAAGCTTTGATGACTGTGGAAGTCAGTTTTGGTGTGTATAAAAGGGAAAGTAGAGCCCTGGGTGTACCCACCTCCTCACACAGTCCTCTGAGGTTCATCATATAAGTATCCAGACATTTTTCTTTTCTTTTTTTTTTTCCAATGAGTTATATTGTAATATAATCTAACAAAATATCTGACACTTAAAACCAGTTGAAGGTTACCTTTGGAAGAGGGAGTCTGATTCTTTTCTTAGCTGAAGATAACCTAGTTTTATTGTGGGAAAGAATCAAGTGAACTTAGAGACAATTTCTTGTCTTATTCTATAAAATCTAAACTAAATCTCCAAGTTGTTTGGTTTGGGGATGTGGGGGGTGCGTTCTTGAGTGTGTGCATATACGTGTGTGTGTGTGTGTGTGTGTGTGTGTGTGTGTGTGTGTGTTGTATTTGTAAATACAAAGTAACCGAAAAATGTAAAATTTAATTTGAACCATAAGTTGTTTTAAAACCAGTTAATTGTTTATGGGAAAGATTGATTGAATCAACCAAATCAGTTGTTTAGGAATCAAATCTTTTATTTATTTTCTTCTTACATAATTCAGCTTTTAATTCTCTGCCTTTTTCCTCTAAACAAGCCTAGATAAGGTTTGGAAAGCCCTTGCTAGGTTGCTTATAGTGGAACAGATGCCACTCTGGGGGGCTGGGTGTATAGCAGGGTTGTGTATTGCAGGGAGAATCTACTGTAGTTCCCTTTGGCGGAAATGCTATAGAGGAGGATATCAGTCAACTGTGCCTGGCTGAAAGCAATTTTCCAAGAGACCCTGATTTGGAATCCATGGCTGCAGGAAGAGAAAGAAAAGGACTTTCTACCGTATCTGAGGTTTTCAAAACCCTTGAGCTGGAAAGGGAAATCTCAAACACCAGTCTTCCTGAATGTTCTTCACAGAAGGAAGATACATCTTTTTTTGGTATTTCATATTATAGAAGTGGATGTTATTATGCTTACTCTTTAATAAAAAGAAAGCCATTAACATATAAGATTTTAGCCTCTTAGATAATCTACATAAACTCCTTACATCTGCAGATAATCTCAGTTACCTGGGAGGCTGAAGCAGGAGGATTGCAAGTTTGAGGCCAGCCTTGGCAATACAGTAAGACCCTACCTCAATAAGTAAATAAAAATAAAACAAAGATGGCTGTGGATGTAACTCAAAGGTAGAGCACCCTGGATTCAATCTCCAGAACTACAAAAACAAAACAAAACAAATCCCCTAAATTGTGTGGACAGCTCACTATTAATGCCAGATACTGGGATCTTTTAACCTGATGACATAGGAAGTAAATTGAGTCAAGCAAGAGAACATGTAGACGAGGCTTTTACTGGGGCCTCTGTTTAGGAAGGGAGACACAGTTCTGATAAGACCTCAGGCTGGCTCCCTGAGACAAAGGAGGGAGCTCGTTTTATTGGTCACTTTTAGGAGTAGAAATGTTAATTTGTTTTAGGTGTACTGAACTCAAGCATTTCCCCCTGTGTTAAAGATAACTTACTGCAGCTGTTCAAGAGGATGCATACAGAGCAACCTGACCTCAATGAAGCAAAACTGGTGTGGGTTGAGGGTGGTACACCTGAAGCTTCCTGGGTTCTGCTGTCAGGCTGTGGGCCAAGGCCCATGAGCACATTTGCCTCTCATTCCTATGGTGGTCCTGTCTCACTATACATGGAGTGAACTCAGGCTGTTAGAAAACCAATCTGGACAATTCAAAGACCCCCCGAATCCACTCTTGCCTCTGACTTCTACTGTAATTTTTTGGATAAGAATCCCAACTGTTTATGTGTATGTGTACCCTGCTTGTGGGGGCAGGTTTATTCTGTTGTCAACAAAAAACTGTTGTAAGATATAGAAGTGCAAAGAGACCGTTGGGTCTTTTGAAGTGGGTAAAACTTAAATCTTTCCTAAAGTTTGGAGCAAATGTATTGTGCTGCATGCTTTAGAGTTTATTTATAGAAAAATTATATTTCTTTTCTGTGGACATAAAGGGTAAGTTAGGAAGATCACTCAGTATGAGTAGAAATCAGAGAAAGTAACAAGGGTACTCCAGTGGCACACCAGACTGGCAATTCAGACCCTGTCTTGATTTTATTGATGGCTTTTATGACTAAGAAGCAGAAACCTCACTATTACTGTTAGTCCTATGTCTGTCAACCATAATGTGCCATCCCAACTTAAAGTTTGAAACAAAATTTCCATCCTGTTTATAGTTGTGAGAAATCAGATGATACTAAAGGAAGTCATGGATTTACTTTGTTTTGAGCTGTAATTTTAATCTTTTTTAAAAATTCAAGATTCAGGGGGCTGGGGCTCAGTGGTAGCGCACTTGCCTAGCATGTGTGAAGCACTGGGTTCGATTCTCAGCACCACATACCAAAAAAAGAAGGTCTATCAACAACTAAAAAATAAAAATAAAAATTAAAAAAAGTTCAAGGGGCTGGGATTGTGGCTCAGTGGTATAGCGCTTGCCTTGCACATGCAAGGCCCTGCGTTCGATCCTCAACATCACATAAAAAATAAATAAATAAAATAAAGGTATTGTGTCCAACTACAACTAAAAAATAAATACTTAAAAAAAATCAAGATTCAGTTCTTCTGTCTCACTAGCCTCATGATAAATGTTTAGTGGCTCCACGTATCTTGTGGCTACACTATTTGGTAGTAGAAATTTTAAAAAAATGTCTTTATATGCCCTTGTTTTTATTTTTTATAGACTCTTGGTCAATTAGGAAAGGGGAAGGACAAAATGAGATAGAAGCTATTTCTCATTTTAAACTGTGAAATCTAAACTTAATCTGAAGGTTAGCCTGATTGATCCAAGACCATAAGTAAAGTTGTACCATCTTTTTTTTTTTTTTTAATTTTTAATTTATTCTTTAGTTTTCAGTGGACACAACATCTTTGTTTGTATGTGGTGCTGAGGATCGAACCTTGGCCCCATGCATGCCAGGCGAGCACACTACCGCTTGAGCCACATCCCCAGCCCCAAAGTTGTACCATCTTGACCTATCATGAAAAATATCATCATCATAAAATCTTTGAATAGGTGAACTATTTTACTCCAAGGACTGTTCATTTTCGTGTTGAGATTTTGTGATCGTCACTAGCATAGCACAAATTCAGACCCTTAGCTGATGCTCCACTGATATCTAGCAACATTCACCACAGCAAGAGAAATTGCATAGCTTCTCCAGGTCTTTGGGCGTCATCTTGTTTCCCAGTCTCTGAATAGCTCAGGTCATTCAGTCATTCAACAAGCATACATACAGAGCGCTGTGCTCTATGCCTCGTGCTGAGCTAAACATTGAGTCTGCAGACATAAATAAGGCACAGCTTCTGCCTTCGAAAAACTCAGAGTCTGGCATAGGAAATAGACCTGTAAAGAGAAAAATCATTATATGATTAGGTGAATGTAGTCATAGGCTTGGCATTTCAGATAGAGAGTCACGATGTACAAGTAAAAATTTTTGGTCCTAAATGATTTATTTTTCAGTTTTTACATGCGAGTTCTTTTGTCACTGCCACATGTTGAAAAAAAAAAAAAAAAAAAAGCACCCAGCAGGGCAAGCTGCTTTGACACGACTTATTCTATAGCGCAAGCCTTTAGGTTCTGATTGCCGGGGGAGCGCAGCTGTGTGTAGGGAGCTCTTCTGGAGCAGTTGGGAGGTGTGTGCAGGTGGAGCGAACGCGCCCAGTCACCGCTTTCTTCCTTCTCCGCAGCTCTCTGCGCCATCGTCGCCACCATCTGGTTCCCTGTGTGCGCCCACCGTGAGACCACCATCGTGAGCTTTGGCTACTCCCTGTACGCGGGCTGGATTGGTGCGGTGCTGTGCTTGGTGGGTGGCAGCGTCATCGTCTGCTGCGCTGGAGATGCCCAGGCATTTGGTGAAAACCGTTTCTACTACTCTTCGGGCTCCAGCTCCCCGACTCATGCCAAGAGTGCACATGTATAAGAGCCGCCACGGCCCCGTGGAGGTGCTGTAGATGCTGGGCCCGTGGCCCTAGGTTCACTTCTCTGCCAGGCACCAAAGCCAAAGGTCTAGAAAACATCCTGCCTGGCGTTTTGTAGTCTTAACACGCCCCCCCCCCCCCCACCTCCACCCCCATCACGTTTTGGTTGCCTTAAAAGAAATCTCTGGCTCAGATTATGCCCACATAGTGTCCATGGTGTTGCCCACTATTATCTGCTTTCTCGGGCATCCCTTTGTTGTTTAATAAAAAGTAATAATTTTGTTTCTCTCTAAATTTTAAATGTCTTGCAAACATGGCTGAGTTGGGTGCGGGTAGGGGAGCGAAATAAAAAAGACACTTTTCAAACTGTTACAGATGACAATGGGAGTCTCATAAAGATGCCTCTCTTGTTTGCTCCCTCCTCTTCAATTCCAAGGTCATTTACTTCTAAGAGATAGAAAGATAGAATCGGGGTCGTGGGGTGGGGAGGGAGGGGAATTGTGGAACTTTTTCTCCAAGGGAAAGTTTTCCCTTTTATAAGTTGAGGGCAAGGGGTGGGGAATATTTTTTAGTTTGTGAGTTTACATTTATCTGTACATACTTTTTTCAAGATGGATCATTTTTATAACCATGGTTTTCCTGAAATTCTCAGTTCATCAGTATGAAGGAAATGAACCAAATAGACTTTAATCATGCAATAAATAACAGTACAAGTGAGTATAACTTTTACTGACATTCCACAAAACATTTTTGATTTCCAGATTTGTGTGATATAGTTTTTAATCCTACATTTGCATATGCTTCAAATTAACCCATTTTTAAAAGCCCTTTTCCCTTTCTTTGTTTTTGTTCTATTATCTATCATGAATCGATGTTTAATGTAAACTGTACTGTTGAATTTGGCTTTACGGGTGTTAATGCTGACGGTGTTATCAGCATCTGAGACCCCAGACTCTCCAAACATGGATGGTGCAATTGGTTCCTTAAGTGAAATCTGTGCAATAAAATAACAAACTGTCTGCAAAATTGGCCTTCAATCTCCTGATATATCCAGAGGTATCGTCTACTGATTTAAAAAAGTCTCATTCATAATGATCTACTGGTAATTTATAGGGGACCTGATCAGTGAGTCAGGAATAAGTTATTCTGCATTGCCCTGAGTAATTAAAAATTATACTTTATTCACCAATATTGTGGTGGTAATGTATGATCATAAAAATGTAACCTTGATGTTCTCTAGGTTTTTGTAGTAGAGTGACTTTATGGCCTGTTTAAATCATAGGTAAATGGGCTGCAATCAGTGCTAAGCATTAGGTGATTAAATTCCTTTATTTGCTTTGAACATTTAGTAAAGAATTGACTAAGTACAAGGGAGAATTAAAAAAAGAAACCCATTTTACTGGATCAAAAATATTATAATACCTAGATGCATTTTGTTGAAACACATATAAGTAAATGTTTGGAAATTTTGGACAAAGACACATAGAGTTGATTTTATTTTGTTTTCTATTCCAGAAACTGTCAAATTATGGGCCTGTTCTAAGAAAATAGATTATTATCTGTTTTGGCAGACATTTTCCAAATAAAATACTAATCTCATTAGTTGATAGTAGAATAACTGGCAAACATTTCCTCTTTGGAAATATCCACTTGTGTCAGACATTTGCAGAAATTTATGTACATTAGGATATTGTAACCTGGGAGAAACTATTTCAAATTACCTGTGGAGAAAAGATAACATTCATGTTGACAAAAATATTTGCTTTGCTATAGGACGGTTTTTGATAGGATGTGACTCACGTGACTATATTGGAGGACCCTCCCTACCTCATTAAAACATGTCAGGATACAGTGGATTGTGAACATGAATGGAGCAGAGGCATGTGGAGGGAGATGTAAGATGTTAGGTCCTCTTGCTCCCTCTTCTCACTGCCAGTTAGAAGCATCATAAATGTAGTAGTTATCTTAGGGACATGCTGGTTTCTCCCATATGAGGCTGCTGCTTGCTTTGCTGTAGGAGAGGTGAGTTGCCTCAGTCCCACTTTCCCCTGAAGCATGAGGGGAGAGACCTCACATTTCTCCTAGCTAACATTGTCTGGACTAATTAAGGAATCCTATTTTGTAGGTCATAACCATAGTGTTAGGATTTAAGATCAGTTTGAGGAAGGAGGATAGATTTTCCTCTAGAATAGCACTGTCCAATGAGTCATATATGTATTTTAAAATCTTCTAGTAGCCACATTAAAAAAAGAAAGCTAAAAATAAAAGAAGAAATGCTGGGGAAAGATATTGGTCCAAATTATATTGTTATATTGTGTGCATGTATGAATATCTAGCAATGAATTCTACCATTATGTACAATTATAATGCACCAATAAAACAATATGGAAAAACTAAAAATAAACAAATAAAATTAACTTTAATTTATTTTACTTGATGTAGTATATCAAAATATTGCCATTTCAGTATATAATTAATTCTTTTTAAATTAAGTTTTTGGATTCCAATGTGTGTCTTACACTTAACTCATCAGAAGTTACATGATTTTGAGAGTTATCCCGGGATTTCTGCCCCTCTCTCTTTAGCCTATTCTAAAGAGACAACATGCAGAGGACCTTTGGATTGAAACTGAGCCGGTCCTATTCATGCTTTCCAAGAATTTGATAGAAACCAAATTAAAGAAAAGAATGTTTCCAGGGAATCTCCGAATCTAGGAATGTTAGTTACAATGATAACAACAAAAAAGGGAAGATTGTATGCTTAAAGAATACAAGATACATATTTGTGCTGAATTGGTGGTTTGGTGTAACAATAGAACAAGGTTTGGTTGTATCTTGTCCTTTTTTTAAACAATTTTAATCTACACGTCAGTGTTTCTCTATACAATATACACAATGTGAACTGCAACATCTTAAATGTTTGGCAGGACATTCATGCTCATGACATCACATGCTGGGAGGACAGGGAGGCCACTGTGGGCCTGGCCCCCAGGAGAAGCAGCATCAGTGCTACCATTGAGATGGCCCCACAAAAGAGTGTGTGACAGCCAGATGTGCTGCTTAATGGAGACTGAACCAGGATTGTGAGTGGAACATTGGCACATGCTGCTGATGGCTTGAATAGCAGCTCTTGAGGAATCTATATTTCTCTACCTCACGCAGAAATCTCAGAGCTCGGGCTTTGTGGCCCTGTGGTGGCCGGGGGAGGGAGTGGAGATGGGGGAACTTGTCACTGATCCATGCCCCATTGTTGAAATGGAAAAATGTGGAAATGTTAAGCCATTCCTCGAGGATTGGGTCAGGCAAGATTGCTTCATTCTTAACTTCCAGGTTACTTTCCAAATAGCAAAGAGCACCCGATGGTCACAGTTGGAGGCTTTCTTTAATTTAAGATAGTTATGTCTCTGTTTCTCTTATATTGAGTTATATACTGCTGTGATTTTCAAACTGGAACGTGCATACTGATCACTCGAGGATCTTGTTAAAAATACAGATTTTGACTCAGCAGGTGTGGAGAGGGCCTGAGATTCTGCATTTCTTAGCAAGCCCTCTGAGGACGGTGCTGTTCCTGATCCTAGTCTCACACCTTGAATAACTAGCCTCTGGGGGCTTCCTCCTGCTGAAACACACACTGTCCTTAGGCATCTGCGTATCAATGGGGGCCTCTTCTGTGGAAGGTCCTGGGAATGGTTTTTTGCTTTTTAAAATAATTCTGATGCTCCGCTGGCCAGTTAACTCTGGTGCAAAATCCTTCATTTGACTTCAAGGTTTTGTTCCTCATTAAAATATAAGCATCCAGTGGAATGCTGGGACCAACTGTTACTGACTAGTCATTGAGTACTGGTTCATGAAAGCAGACTATTACAGTTTTAGGAATTTTGTGAGCCAGTGGATGACACATAGGTAGCTTGATAACAGTCTTGGTGGGATATTTATACCATAGAAACCACCCAACCTTACAAATCGGGTACTTCTCCTCTGCTGACTCCCACTTTCCAGCTGGTCCACCAAGCTCTGTTCTTGGGGAGCCATACATGAAGCGACACCAACCTTCAATGCCTTCATTGTGAAGGACTGCATTCTTCCTTTTCCTGGGAATTTCTCATAAGGGAAGGTGGGAGTATATAGGGTAACTGAGGGAAAGCAGACACACCAGCTGCAGACTCTTGTAACCATGTGTGCCCTGATTCCTTTGCCTGAGTCTGAGGGACCTGGTGACCTGGGCAGAGGAGGGTGACTTCTCTATCTGTTAGCTCTGATGCTCAAGGTTTGGAGAGCAGGCAGCAAAACTCACCTAAGTATTAAATACCTTGGTACCAGCTTGGTGTTTGAGGTCGTCCCAGTGCCCTTTGAGCTTGTGTACTGTACTTATTGGTCCCACCAATCTGGCTTTTGAAAATTTCCTGGCAGATTTAGTTTTTTTTTTAACAAATATTTTTTAGTGTTGGCGGACCTTTATTTTATTCATTTATTTATATGCAGTGCTGAGAATTGAACCCAGTGCTTCACACATGTGAGGCAAGCACTCTACCACTGAGCCACAACCCCAGCCCCCAGATTTAGTTTTTAAAAGTCACATTTTTTTCCTGATTGTAAAAGTAATAATAATCTAACAGCTAACATTTATTGAGAACTTGTTCCTTAGAAGGCACAACTCTAGTACTTTACAAATGCAAACACATTTAATTTTCATAACAACTCTTTTATGAGTTCGGGGTTATTAAAACTGTGTTCCTATTTTATAGATAATGAAATTAAGACACGAGTTAGCTTGCCTACATCACACAGCTATTGTATAATGTCTCTTCTTATAAAGAATTCAAACACTGTGGAAAAATACAAATAAGAAAATAAAAATATCACCTATTACCTTTGCATTAGAGTCCTTTCTTTTGTATGTGTTCTTGGTCATCATCTTACTTTAATATAAAAACTCCAACATATTCTATATGTAATTCTATAACCTGCTTTTAAAAAATGGTATATGGAAAACATTTTCTCATCCCATTGTTTTTCTTTATAAGGTTTATAATATCTGCATAATTTTCTGTTGTTTGGCTGCACCATAATTTATTCAATGAATATCCAAGAAATCTTACCTATTTGGGTTCCTTTCTAATTTTTTTTCTGAATAATTTTG